AAGGGGCCCCATGGTGTCTGGAGAGCACTGTCACTGAGGCCTGGGTGTGATCTGCCCAGGGGATACATCTGTTAGACCTGGGAATCTGGAATAACAAGGTGACTCCAGCAATGATTTAGATGCTGCATGGGTTTCCCAAGGAAACTGTGGGGCCCTGGGTGAATGAGGCCAGCAATGGGTATCTCTGGACAAGTCAATGAGAGGTCAGCACATGATCAGTGTGTCCAGATAGAACTTACTGAGGTCCCTTCAGATTACTAGGGACCCCAAAGGGGTCCGTTCTATCCCATGAGAATTCAGTCTCTTCCCATAACCAACATATCTAAGAACTGTAGAGAGGCCATGAATTCCTGGAGCTGTCCCGGTTCCTGTTTCCTATATCTGGGCCCATGGTGTCTGCCTCAGACCAGCTACTCACAGAGGGACTAGTGGGGTCATGAAGAGATCAGTGATGGCAAACGTGACAGTGGGCACTGGTTGGATGGAAGTCACATCTCGGGTAGAGGAGAGAGTGGGTTATGGGATGTTGAAGGGTGACGGGCAGCTCATTCTTTCAAAGAGAAGAGGAAAGACTGGGTTCCAGAGTTTGAGATTCTGGAGGTTGAGGTATGGTCTCCCAAGACTGTTTGGACCAAATCCTGACCTTTGACTGGGTATAATGCAGAGTTCTGAGGGAACAGGTGTCAGCAATGGGGGTGCCACTGTTGGCTTCTTGATTGTGTAGAAGTGGCTCAGTGTGAAGCCAAGACCACCCCCTCCCCTGCCCTTATCAGGCGGCCCATACCCACCCAGCAGCCTAACAGCAGATCCTGCCAGGTTCTGAAGCCACCTCTGTGCTAGCTGAGGTAGTGTAGCAGGCAAATGATGGGGTCTTATACTTAAAGCCAAACTCAGGAAAGTACTTGGAGGGAGGTGGGGTGTGAACCATCGCCTGTCGTGCCCGTCCTCTGAAGCAGTAGATACTCATTCATGCGGGCATTCAAAAAGGCATTAAACATGTCTCCCCCTTCCCCTACAAAACCACTCCCAAGTTTATACCTAAAAGAAATGTATGTATGTGTTCACAGAAGACAGGAACAAAAATGGCAATAGGCCATCATTGGATGTAACCCAAATGCCCATTAACAAAAGAACAGATGGACTGTGGTCCGTCACAGCTCAACAATGAGAACACACAACATGGGACACCTCAAACAATGTTGAAGGAAAGAAGATATTTCTAAAAAAGCATATGGAGTATAATTCCATTGGTATGAAGCTCAAAACATGCAAAACTATGCTGTTAGAATTCAGGACACAGAGGATATCTGGAATACTGGTCATTTCTAGGTGATTGATCTGATGCTGGTCATACAAGTGTGTTCACAGTGAGTCCAGTCACACCATGGCTTGTGAACATCTCTAATTCAGAAAGTTTACTTGAAAAAGACAGTGACTTCGAAGAAAAGATGGCGATACCTGTTTCCAGCAGACCTCGACATGTACTTGTCACCCAGTGAACAACTTCACTGTGCCTGGGAGGACACGGGGTGCACCAAACAAAATCCACCTCAGTGGTGGGCAGGGTCAGGTGTGGGGTGTCCCCTGGAACATGTGGACAAGGTGAGAACCCCACGGCCATTTTCCTCGGGACCCAAGGATAGCTTCATAGAGGGTGAGTGTGTGGAGGAAGCTCGGGGCAGAAGGATGGCCCTGGATGCCCTGGGAAGGAGGGGCCACTGGGATGTAGAATGTGGGGAGCACATCTGAGCTGGGGCTGCCACAGAGCTCAGGGGTGCTCAGACTCCCCAAGGCCTGTGGAGTCCCCCCGGCCTGCCTGGAAGAGTCCCCGGGGGGGCCTTCGCTGCTCTCTGGGCCCAGGCATCTGATTCTGCAGCTGCATCTCTGGGAAACGATCCTGAGCAGGCAGAACCGAGTGGAAATACACTGCTTCCAAAAGGATCCCAACGCTCTGAATTATTCATTCACTGGAGCATTCATCATTGATGAGGCCCCAGCCGGCTTTTCGTTTCCACAAACTCCTTTCCCCACCCTTCCCACAGCAGGCTGTTTTGGTCACATGTGACCTTTGTGTGTGTCACTGAGACCTTTGCTGTGGGTGGAGATTTTCTAAGCGTCCAGCAGCCTTCCTTGGCTCACACAGGTCAGGGGCAGGGTAGGGCTGGGCCTGGAAGCCATGCTCCTGACTGGAAGCCCAGGGCTGTCCCCAGTGGTCCACTCTGCCTCTTCTAAAGAGCAGACAATAGGAAGAAGGGGCAGATGCAGGGCTCCGGGATCCTCCAGGCACCCCGCTGATGGGCTCTGCTAAGCTTGCTGTCCTTCCTCCATTCATGTCCACAGGGACATCGACCTCCTCCTAGAAGCCTTTAATGTCCCTGACTCTTGCTGTCTAGCTGGGCTTCCAGGTGCTGGCCAAGGTGAGCAGGGCCTGGCTACACTCTGGGAGCCTGCCCTGGGTACACAGCTCTGGCCTGAGGACCGACCTGGACCAAGAATGCTTCCTGTCCCTCCACAACCTGGACCCCTGGCTTGATTGTCCCCCACCCCACTGTTCCCCCCTGCCATGTGGTGCTTGTAGCTGGGTGGTGGAGGCTGGCACCACTAAGCCCTGAGCTTTGTCAGATTCTGCAATTCACTGACTCCAATATTTTAAGCTGCTGCTCAATTTCTGCAAGGATATGCTGTGATTTCTGTGGAATGGTGACTAACAGAACTTACCAGAAAAAAGGTGGTTGGGTCAGAATTAAAAGACAAGGATCTGCACAGGCTGGGGCCCTTTCTCTGCTCCCCTGCTGCACTTAGACCTCCTCCTCCTTAAGAGGGGAGACCTCATCTGACCTGCATCTCCCCACTGCAGGTGATGACGCCTGGCATGTGGCCAGCACTCAGGAAACAACTAATGACAGGAACTGGCTGACCATGGGCCAGAATCCAAACACAATTTCTTTTTTTTTTTTTTTTTTTTTTTTTTGGTACCAGGGATTGAACCCAGGGGTGTTTAACCACTGAGCCACATCCCTGGTCCTTTTTTAATGTTTTATTTAGAGATAGGGTCTTGCTGAGTTGCTTAGGGCTTTGCTAAGTTGCTGCAGCTGGCTTTGAACTCGTGATCCTCCTGCCTCAGCCTCTGAGTTGCTGGGATTACAAGCATGCACCACCTTGCCTGGCTCCATGCACAGTTTTTGATTCTTACTGGAGCCCACATGGGGCAGTGCTATCCCAACATCTTCACCTTTTTAAAATTTCAAACACAGAGGAGATGTGCCAGTCATTTGCTCAAGCCAATTGCCCTCCCCTTCCCTTACTGTGGATGTGTCTACACTTGCATGAGGACAAAGGTCAGCATCTTTCAGGATGTCACAGTGCTCATAGGGCTGGGAAACTAGCTGCCTGAAAGAATTTGCACAAGACACCCCTGGAGCTGGGGAAAGCCCTCCAGGGATCGAGGTGTCTTCTCATGGCAAGATCAGCCCATTCCTCACTTGCTGGCCCTTCCCAGGGTCTTGGATGTCCCCCAAATGCAGCACAGATTACTAATAAGAGCCCATAAAATGTGCTCTGGCAGGCTCCTCCCCCCTGCTCTCCAGCATTGTCCCAAGAATAGCCTTTATTTCCTGTCCCTTTCAGAGGGATCCTGCTCTACTCCACTTCCCCCTAGTAGCCTATTCCCTGTTAGTTGAGGCGCTACTGCAGGAGGGGACACCTCCTAGCCAGGCTTTCACTCTTCATCCCCAGCTGCATTTGGAGTCTTGAACCCCGAGTTCCAAGTATGCCTCAGTTGAGAGGGAACCCACCGAGGAAGACGGGAAGCAGCTGCCTGGGGTTAGCGAGGTAGAGTGGCCAACATGCCGTGCAAAGATGCTCAAGGCCTGATGGCTGCTATCTGGGAGTCTAGGCCAAGCCAGGTTTTGCCTGGATTTACCCACAGGTGGGATGGGGGTGGGGCAGGCCTGAGGACAGTAGTGACTCCTAACCCTGGTGCTCCAAGCCCTGCATGCACATCCACCCAGTAGCAGGTGTGGGGCAGAACCTGGTGCAGGCTAGGTCATGGCTAGAATGGAAGCCTGGGCTAGCTGCAGTATCTGGATACCACCCTGTCCACCATCCTGCCAGATGCCCTTGGACTGACATCTCTGACTAAACCTTGAATCCAGGGCTCTGCTTACCTTCACTGGCTTAATCCCTGGTTAACATTAGGCAACTTACACCACAGCATGGAGGAAAGGAAACTTGGATGTATACCTCACACCATGCCGTTCGATAAATTCTACAAAAATAAACGTGAACACATACCTATTCACAGAGATTGTCTCAGGCCATTTTGTGCAGCTATAACAGAACACTAGAGTGCAGAGTAATTTGTAAAAGATAGAAATTTGATTTCTTACAGTTCTGGTGTTTGGGGAGTCCAAGATCAAGGTGCTGGTAGATTCAGTCCTCTGGTGAGGGCTGCTCTCAGCTTCCAAGATGGTGCTTGTTCCATGAGCTCAGGGGGAGACTCCCCAAGTCCTCCCTCCCTGCAGAAAGGGGGAAGGATTGATACAGCCAATTGCTGCACGAATCCTCTTTTATAAAGATCTTAATCCCATAGGAAGGGAGGAGCCCTCCTGGTGTAATCACTTTTTAAAAGCCCCACCTCTTAATACCACAGCCATTAAGTTTCAACACCTGAATCTTTTTCTTAACCTGTAAATAAAGCTTTATTGCAGACAAGCCACAATTCATTGACGACATGCTGAAAGAAAGGGATTGAGATTAATCAGAAAGTTACCTAATAGTATGAATCATGTGTTACATTTTTGTCCAGAACATGTAAGAGAATGTTGAAAGAAAAAGCAACATAACCACCCTTCAAACCAGATCCAGCTGAGAAGAGAAATAAATGAGGTTAAAGTATGCAAAACTCCTCACACAGATATGGATGAGGCACTTGTAGGGTTCCAGAGAGCTTTTCAACTGGGAAAAGCAAGTGAGAAATGCACTGTCCAAGGCAGGGAATGTTAATATCTTGCTTTTACATGAGACTTTTCAATTTATTTTTTAATTTGTTGTTTTGAGATATACATAATAGTAGGGTGTACTTTGACATATTATACATACATGGGGTGCAACCCATTACCATTTTGATCCCATTCTTACAGTGTAACATGATGTGGAGTTACACTGGTTGTATATTCATGTATGAACATAGGGAAGTTATGTCCAATTCACTCTTCTTTTCTATTCCCAACCCCCACTCCCTTCCCTTCATTCCCCTTGTCTAATCTAATGAACTTTTACACTTTCCCTCTCTACCCTCCCTTGTTATGGGTTAGCATTCACGTATCAGAGAGAACATTTGACCTTTGTTTTTCACTTAGCATGATATTCTCCAGTTCCATCCATTTACCAGCAAATGCCATAATTTCATTCTTCTTTATGGTGGAGTAATATTCCATTGTATGTATGTATGTGTGTGTGTGTGTGTATATATATATATATATATATATATATATATATATATATATATATATATCAATCAATCACATTTTCTTTATCAATTCCTCAGCTGAAGGGCATCTAGGGTTGGTTCCAAAACTTGGCTATTGTGAATTGAGCTGCTATAAATGTTGATGTGGTTGTGTCACTGTTGTATACTGATTGATTTTAAGTCCTTTGGGTATAAGCTGAGCACTGGGTAAAATGGTGGTCCCATTCCAAGTTTTCTAAGGAATCTCCCTACTTTCCAGAGTGGTTGTACCAGTTTGCTTGCTGTCCCACCAGCAATATATGAGTGCATCCTTTTCCCCACATCCTTGCCAACATTTATTGTTGCTTCTTGATAATTGCCATTCCGAATGGAGTGAGATGGAATTTCAGTGTAGTTATAATTTTCATTTCTCTAATTGCTAGAGATGTTGAACATTTTTTTCATATTTTTGACCATTCATATTTCTTCTTCTGTGAGGTGCCTGTTCAGTTCCTTTGACTTTTCTTTTTTTAAAAAACAATATTTATTTTTTAGTTGTAGTTGGACACAATACCTTTATTTATTTATTTATTTTTATGTGGTGCTGAGGATCGAACCCAGGGCCTCGCATGCTAGGCAAGCGCTCTACCACTGAACCCCAGCCCCAGCCGCTAACTTTTCAGTTTTTAAATGGCTTTGACATTGTGTTAGTTGAGCCTAGCAGTAGTAACCTTGTTAAATGGGCAGGCTAGATACTTATCTAGTTAAATAAGTCAAGATTTAGTTAAGTCTTGCCCAAGAGTTGACATCACTGCAATGATATGGTCAACACCAGAAACTTAAGAGGGACCACGTTCAAACCACACACGGAAACTTGGGCTAGTTTGTTTACTTGGGGCGTTAGTGATGCTCCCATTGGAATGATGTCCTCAGAGTTTTTATAAAAAACAAAAGCTCCCTTTGAATAAAATGTAAAAGGAAGGATGGAAAACCAAGGCCACGGCGAATCACACCTGGTAACAGTTACCCCACTAAGGAAAGGTCTGTCCAGATTCTGAAAGTGCCCAAAGGAAAACTGACACAGAGGGAAATTCAAGCTATCTTTTTATAACATTTAAATTATAAAAGTAAAACTGAGTGTTGACAGAGCAATAGGGGCACTTTCTGCTTAGTGTTCCTCCTGTTATGGTTTAGATGTGCTGTCCCCCAAAAGCTGATGAGACAATGGAAGAATTTCAGAGGAGAAATGGTTGCGTTATGAGAGTCTTAACCCAATCCGTGAATTAATCCCCTGTGGGATTAACTGAGTGGTGACTGAAGGCGGTTGACGTGGCTGGAGGTGGATCACTGGGGGCTTGGATTCGGGCTATATATTTTGTATATGGTGAGTAAGTCTCTCTGCTTCCTCTTCATCACGTGGCCACCCTGGGCCACACTCTCCTGCCATGTTCTGCCTCACCCTGAGCCCCGAGGAATGGAGCCAGCTGCCTGTGGACTGAGATCTCTAAAACTGTGAGCTTCCAGATAAACTTTTCCTCCTCTGCTACTGTCTGGCTGGGTCTTTTGGTCACAGCAGTGAAAGGCTGACCAGAACACCTCCCTAGGTGATGTTAAGGGGCTGTTGTTGGACACTTTTGTCCGGGGAAGCCAGCAGCATCTGACTCTGGGATGACTGAGTTCGTAACGGGGGCATCCAGGGGGCCAAGGATTCAGGGGAATCGGGCTGAGGCTGTGAGAGCTGAGAGGAACTGTTTTCAGGTGTGACAGACATCATCCAAATATTTGCTGGTTACAGAGAACAAAGCGATGACAGACACTGCTGGTTCTGGCTAATTGAATGTCCGCCCCCGATCCCGTTAGTGCCCTGATCCGATCCCATTCAGGGGACCAACACCCTCTTGCCCCGCAGACAGTATGGGAGAAGCTCAGACCAGGTACCTGCCCTCCCCAAATGGTAGCTTCCCTCTTGGAAGTTGGGAGTCCCCTTCATATCACCTGTCACAGTCAAGGAGCAGCATGTGTCCTAGAGACACAGCCAGGGCTCAGCATGGGGCTGGATGAGGCACTGACTGGAGCTGCCTGGTGCCTGACTTCAAGCCAGCTGTGCCACCCTGGGCACACCCCACGCTGCAGAAAACATGGTGGTGTCGGCAGAACCAGCTGTTTGGTGATTCTAAAGATATTTCCCAGAAATCTTTGCCCCTAAGGAACTGCTTTGAATTGGGACCTGAAGTTACCACAGAGTAAAACATGGGCTAAGTGCCATGAGAGGTGACAGAACAGGTTTTTGGATGGCAGAGACTGTACCAGAGCTGCCCAGCATCTTGTCCACCCTTAGATGAGACAAGGGCTCTTCAGACCCAATGTGGAGGACATTCTTAGGAAGGCAGGACCTGAATGCAAAGGTGTAGCAATTTATTCAACTGTGCTATGGCTTGAATGACAAAAAGTAAAGGAACTCTTGGGGACTGATTAAATAGGAAAGGGGCTGGGGAAGAACAATTTGTTGGTATTTCCTGGTTCTGACTTGAACAGGGTTCTGATACGCAGTAAACTGCCTTTAAAAACTTTTTTAAAATTTATATGTAAAAATTATTTATAATTATGGTGGGTACCATGATACTTTGATGTGTGTATACATTGGGGAATAACTAAATCAAGCTATTCAATATATCACCTCACATATTATCTTTTTCTTATGCTAAGAACACTTAAAATCTCCTCTCAGCAATGTTCAAATATATAACAGTATAATAAACAGTGCTCACCATGATGTACAATAGATTTCTTGAACTTATTCCTCCTAATCAAAATTTTGTGTCCTTTTACATCTCCCCAATATGTCACACCTTCCCCAGCTTCTGGCTGCTACCATCTTACTCTGTTTCTATGAGTTCCACTTGTTCATATTCCTCATACAAGTTAGGTTGGGCAGCATTTGTCTTTTTGTGCCTGGCTTATTTCACTTAACTGAATATCCTCCATGTTCACTCATGTTGCTGTAAATAATAGGGTTGCCTGTTTTTAAAAGCTGAATAGTAGCTGCATATGGTGGCACATACCTGTCATCAAAGCAGCTTGGGAGACTGAAGCAGGAGGATCATGAGTTCAAAGCCAGCCCCGGCAACTTAGAAAGGCACTAAGCAACTCAGTGAGACCCTGTCTCTAAATAAAATAGAACAATGCGCTGGGGATGTGGTTCAGTGGTTAAGCATCCCTGGGTTCAATCCCTCGTACCCCACCCCCCAAAAAAGAAAAAAAAATCTGAATAGTGTTCCATGTGTATATACAACATATTTTCTTCACCAGTTCATCCACTAAGGTACACTTAGGTTAATTCCATATCTAGGGTATTATGAATAACGCTGCAATGAACATGGGAGAGATTTTTTTCTAGGAGTGTGTTTTGATTCTTTTGTGTATCTACTATATAGGATTTTGCTTTGTGGTTATCATGAGGCTTAGAAGAAGCATAGTAAAATAGACTATTTCAAGCTGGTAACTATTTTACCTTGACTACATAAAATAACTACTTTTACTCCATCTCTCCCAAATACATTTTAGGGTTTTGCTCTCACAATTTACATTTTTTCATATTGCATATCTCTTCTGCTTTAGTTCTTCAGACTATAGGAAAAAGAAGGGTAACCACTGAGTTCTAGTTAAAAATCTCAAGGCTCCTCGGCATCAATTTTAGGCTTCCTGGGAGACCTTCTGATACATACGCTGGGGAGGCAGCATCGCTGGAATCACAGTTCTGAGTTCAAATCCCTGCTCTGCCACCTCTTCACTGTGCCTCTTTGTTAAATTACCTATCATCCCTGAGATACCTCCTTTGGCTGCCATGGACACCCATGGCAGTCACTCAATGCTCCACCACTTCCTTCCAGATGTTAGGAGGTGGTGCCTCTTCATACCCTCTTCCAGGGGCAGTAAGTACCCTGTGCTGTTCTGGGAGGAGTCCATGATGAAAGCTAGGCGGACAGTTCTTGGCATGTGCCACGTACCTGCCCAATACTAACTGCTTGCATGTGTGATCTCATTTCATCTTTATAACTGCTCTGCTCTATAAGGAACTGAGGCTTTAAGAAGTTGTGATTCATTCCGGAACACAATTGTGCATGGATCTATTTTCTGTTAAAACTCACTATCTGTATCTAGTTTTACATCTACTTCCTGTGGGTTTGGTTAGCATCTATCATGAGAGCCAGATCATTCCTGAGTGAACTGATGAGTCAGGGTGTCTGAGCATCTGAGGTGTGAGCTTAGGTCTCTGGGTAGTGATCTTCTGTGGCTCCTGATTCAATGGTATATAGTTCCAGGACTGAAAACTGTACAGGTCCCACTCTCCTTAGCAGTCCTGCCCCTGCCATAGGAGCACCTGGATAGCTGGGTTCTGTATGGAGCTGTTTGTCTGACTAAAGTCAGTGTCCCCTTAGAGCTACTCAGCTGTGGCTCTAAACATCCTCTATGAGTTAACAGACTGACAGCCAGCCTGCCAGACACATTTATTGTTAGAGAGGGCGTCTCCCACTCACATGGGTTTTAACATAACTACATCAACAGGGGTGCCTTGCCCCCAAGCCCCTGCTCTCTTCACTGCTGTTTCTGTTACACAGCTCTGCTCCCAGCAGCTGAAGCCTCCCATGCTACCCACCTGGAATGCCATCTTCTGGAACTCCACTGACTCTTTAGATTTTATGGGAAATGGGAAAGTCCCAATGAGCAAAATGTACTTTCTAATGAACTGGATGGAGGTATGTGACATTCCAAGCAAAACAAAATCGGCCAGTTTGGTGGACTAAAGCCAAGAAAACACTGTGTATGGGGAGGCTACAATGGGCTCATGGGTGGGGTCTCTCCAGGAACCTCTGCTTGCGAGTGTCCAGAGGCCAGGTCCCTCCCCACTGGCCTGGGACTGCCTCTGGGCTCCAGGGCTGGGACCTATGGTATTTCAGTCCTCGGTTACAGGTGGGGGAATGAGCTGCAGCTGGAAGTTCTCATTCTGAAAGATGCTGTTGAAGGCTGGTCCACTCTGGGAGCCACTGAACGGCCTGTAGCTCTCACTGTTGCGATTCTGGGAGAGTTCCGTAAGAAGAGCCAGCTGCAAAGAAGGGGACATACATCAGGTAAGCTGGTTGGGCAGAGAATCTGTGTGGGGGTGGAGTGGGGGAACAGTGGTGCAGAGGGGCCTTGGCTGCAGCAGGTATTGCTACTTTGTGGGAAGAGTAAAAAGAAATGGTTTAGACCCCAGGGCTAGAACTCATAAGCTAGTTGTGTGGCTTCGGGCAAGTCCCCATTTGGTAATGATGAGACTGGATGTTCGCTCCCAGGGGCACAGAGACTGTGCTCTCTGACCCGGCAGGGCTGTCTGATCCTGGCCCACTCACACCTGTTCTTTTCCAGCTGCTGTGTGTGACTCTCCTGCCACCTCTCTCCCTGTGGAGGTGAGGTTCTCCACTCCCAGTTCATCTCATCCCTCTTCCCACCTCTCTCTTGGAGCCTTCTCCCCAGAGAAAGTGACTCTGAGTTATGACTGCTGGCTCTGCCCTCTCTCTTTTATAACCTGGATAGCTCCAAAGAAAGGGACACTCAGCCACCAATTCAAACTTAGGGCCTCAGAGCAGAACTAGAGACTCTACCTTCTCCAAATGAGTGCTCCCTGCTCTCTACTTCCTATTTCCACCATAGCCACTATTAATAGCTCTGTTCTGAAAGACCTGTTAGGAGGGAACACATTGCAGGAGGCAAGGGCATGCCAGCCCTTAGAAAGCCAGCTCCGCCCCTTTGGTGCCCTCCCTCTCACCTAAGGAAGCTTTCTGTAAATTGGGAGCCTGACGGTCTAGCCCTGAAGATGTCCTTAATGGTCAGGGAAGAGTCCCACACCTTGGGGTTCGAGATGTTCCACCTGCTCTGTCTTGGCTTGCTGCTCCCCTTCTTTAATAAAGGGAACCACCTGGACCTGCCCCTCAGTGCGACTCGAAGGCAAACTCAGGGTCACCATGCAAAGCTTCCCATTAGCGGTAGGTGGGACCTCTGTGTCCCACCACTAACATTTTGAGGAAACCTGCTTAGGCTTGATGAGAGTCTAGGGAAAGTGACCACCCTGGAGAGAGGGTGACTGTGACAAGCCAGCCGAGGGACTCCTCAGAGCAACCCTTCTGTGTTTGGCGCCATGTCAGAGGTTACTGGGGACCTATAACAGCCTCAGGGAACTGCATTGAGTATCTTTCCAGTGCCAGACACTGTGCCAGGTGTTGTCCATAGTGTTATTCTATCTCCACAACAACCCTCTGGAGTGAAAATGCCGGAGTCCCAAGAAGTTAAGGTCACCCAGCATTAAGCAGCAGGATAGGATTCAAACTCAGGTTGAAAGGCCATTGTGGCTCACCCAAGCTGCCCACAGCCCTGCCTTGTAGCTGTCCTCTGACAAAGGGTCTCCTGTCATACTGACAATAATGGCACAAGGCTCACATGTGTCCAGTTGTCACTTCTGTGGAAAACACGGGGGACCCATCTGAAAGCCCCTAAGTGCTAAGTGCCAATATATAAAAAAAAATCTAGTCCCAGGTCCTGTTCATGACATGGCCATGGTCTAGTTCATATTCAATAACTCCCAACACAGAAGCTCTGACTGCAAGCACTGAGCTGGCCAGGGACACACATGGGGGAGGCTGGCTCAAGAATGGCCCTGGCCTCACAGGTGTTCGCTCAAGCAATAAGCCAGGGCTTCCACTGGTACCTGTGCAGGTTACACAGAGACATCCCTCGCTCTCCTTGAGCACCACTTTGTGCCTCTTCCTTTTTTGCTGTGAAGCATCTGAAAGGAGACTGTCCCTGGGGCTTTAAAGAATGGACAGAGACACTCAACTCTCACTTTCTGACAACTTGACGTAGAAAAACCAACCACAAAAAATTTTTCTGTTCCTGTAAGATGGTGGATGCCTATGATTCCAGAGTCTCAGGAGGCTGAGGCAGGAGGATCACAAGTTTGAGGTCAGCCTCAGCAACTTAGTGAGATCCTGTCTCAAAGTAAAATAAAAATGTCTAGGAATATAGCTCAGTGATGGAGCACCCCTGGGTTCCCAGTACCACACACATGAAAATGTTTCTTCTTAAGAAAAAAGATATTTTTGTATTCTCCTTCTGTAACTGAGTGATCAAGAAATTGATGGACCCGAATAAGAGCTTAACATTTAGAAGCAGAAGATTGTCCTTGGAAAGTCAGCACCTCAACTACTAGGAAGAGCCTGGCTATATCTGGGAAGGGATGGGGTGACACCAGTTCAATAGAGTTGCTGGGAGACATTCAGGAGGCCACTGGAGAAGTCTCCCAGACAAACCTCTACCCAGATCAGCTCTTGAAGGGGAACGCCATTTTTGGTCCAGGCTACAGAGAATGGCCCTGGCCTCACAGGTGTTTGCCTAGAAGTGTGGGTAGGCACAGGGCACCCAGGCAGAGGCACAGCACAGGAGCAGCTGGGTGGGGAGGAACTCAGGGAACAGCTGGGGCCAGTGGGAGCTGCGGAGTAGAGGTGGTGGCAGGGTTTGGACTTCCTCCCTTTAAGCAGTGGACAGCCAGGAGAAGTTTTGAGAAAAGGGTCAACTGGTCAGTCAGATTTGGAAAGAAGCTCTAGGCAGCAGCATGGGTTGGGGACAGGAGCATTGATCAGAAGACCTGAAGTGGCCTCTGTGGTGACAAAGAGGCCTGCCCCAGGACAGTCGCAGTTTGGAGAGGGAAAGAGAAATGGAGAAGATGCCTAAGGTGAGTGGATAGAGGGTGGAGGATGAGACCAGTGCTACTCTGAGGGGCTGAGGCAGGCACTAGGCAAGCAAGAGCAGGCAGAGAGGCGAGTGAGAACACTTCTGAAGTGCCCATGGGACGCCAGACTGATGGGTGGCTGTGCTCGCGTAGCCCTCCCTCCAAACCTGTACTCTTCTTCCAGTTATAGGAAACCAAGAGTTTCAGCCCATGGCCTTCGGAATTGAGGACAATTTCCCAGTCTCCACCACAGTATGAGTGGCAATGGGTCTACCCTCCAGACCGTGGAGATAAGAGGAAGTGGTCTGTATGACTTCTAGCACTGTCCTAAGAGGGAAGGCTCATCCTCATCTTTCTTTTTATAACCATATAAAAAGGAAGCTCTAACCAGGGTTGAACCATGTGAATCTTAAGCCACAATGTCCTTACAGAGTCATGAAAGAGGAAACACGGAGGGTGGTTCATAGAAGATGCCCTGGCTACCTGTGTTTCCACTTCCATCTTGTTTAAGCCTCTGCTGCTTTGAATTTGATTCCATGGTCCAAACTAGTTGGACCCATGCAGATGCCCAGGACCTTAGGACAGATTAGGCAGCCACTGACACAAATAAAGGCTCTGGCTCATTTTCTCTGGACGCAGGAACATAGAGGCTCACCCATGTCCCCACAGACCAAAGTGGGTAAGGGCCAGATCTCTTTCCACTTCTGCCCGCTTTGCTAAGTTCTGAGTGCTCCTTGGGCTGGAGGACCGTGTGGCCATAACAGGGATGCCAGGGAACCTCCCAGGCTAAGGAGAAGGCTAGACGGAGGGCTCCAGGACATGGTCTTTCCAAAACAGTAAAGTATAAATGGGGAAACAGAGAGGTAAACAACCACATAGACTTTACCCTGGAACTCCCTCGGTACAGATGGCAAAGCTGATCAAATGCCTGAATTTGCTGTGGATCCAGAACGGGTTCTGAGGTTGCCTAAGAAATAAAAAATAGTAAGGATTAATAACACCGTGTGGCTTGTTCTTGGGCAGTCAGTGAATTTGTCCCATACCACGGCAAAGCAGGACATGTGGTTCCTTCATTCTTCTGAAGAAAATCTATGCTACCAGCTATCAGGGAGACAGATTTTACTGAGCATTTATTACAAATGGGCTTGTCCCTCCAAAGTCCTTCCTTGGCACTACCCAAGTGGACATATCTATGGACTCTTTTCCCAATGTGGTCTCTAAGTTTCCTTGTGAGCTTCCTTTAGGGTGTCTTAATTCCTCTCTGCCATTACTGTGTGAAGAAACTCTGCTCCATCCAACCTGAATTTCATATCTATCACTTGAAATGGCCAGCAAAGATGCCCCTTCTCTGTGATAGAAGTGGGGATGCACTATAGATGAAACTGTGCCACTTCTGTTTCACTGTAAAGCTGGCAGCCACCTGAAGGGTTGCAAGATGAGTCTGCTGCTGTTTGGGAGAAAGTCTAACTTGCTCTGTGGAGTCGTGTTGCTCCACCTGCTCCTGGGGTGGAACAGGCCATGACTGAGCTCTATTCTTAGTGGATCTGGTTCAACTCATACTTGGACAGAAGTAGTAGGATCCTGGGGGTGGCAGCCTTAGGACCTGGAGTCAGAAGTTAATCTGAATGCTAGTTCTCACACTGGCCTGCTATATGATCTTAGGCATGTCACTTTACTACTCTTGAGACTCACCTGTGACCAATGGTAATGCTTACCTCATGAAGTTACTGAAAGTTAAACCAGCTGAAATTGATATCTAAAGCCTGCCTAGCAGCATGCAAGGGCTCAGTATATGCTAGCTTTTATCACAATTTAGAGATACCCTTAAATTGATTTCAGAAGTGTTTTTTGTGTATATGTTCTTTCTTTGCTCTGGATTATGAACTCTCTGGGAAAGAATTCCATAACATAAACCCAATGTAAGATGGATTCAGTGACGGAGGGCCTGGGTGTCCATGTGAGCTGGGTGAGGGAAGAGGCACTGACAGGGCTGCAAGAGGTGGTCTGAAGACATGTGCTGGCCTTGCAGGAGTGCACAGGATATGGAAGAAATTCAGGAGGGCGATGAGCAAAGGAGGCCTAGGACAAATACTACCATAGGACAAATACTACCACTGTAGCAGTTACCACATACTGAGAATCTACTGTGTGCCAAGCTGTGTGCTGTTTCTCATGGGTCATTGCATCGAATCCTCAAAAGCATTCACTCTATGAGAAAGGTCCCGGCATGTCCATTTTTCCCCCTACTAAGAAGAATCTGAACTTTAAAAAAGCTTGACATACAGAAAATTTAAGAGGTATGTTAATTTAGTTTGTCTTCTAGGGATGGCTTTCTTCTTTCTCTCAAAATTTTCATCACCCTTAGGAGAAAAAGCCTACACAGGGCTAACAGAATGCAAAACACTACAGGAAATTCACCACAATTCTGTCTCTTGGCTAGGTGGAAAGGATGTCTCAAGATCCAGAGAGCAGCAGCCAGTGACAGGGCTTCTAGAATCCCATGTGGCACCCCGAAGATACCGTCAAGGATGATCTAGCTTCAGACATCAGTGCAGGGCACAGCCACCTCAGTTCCTGTATGTTCAGCAATGTGGAGACGGCTGAGAAGGAAGTGCTGAGCAGGGCAGGGTGTCCCCGAGTGAGCAGCAGAAAGAGGGGAGGCTCCTGGAACTCCCCCTCATTCTCTGGGTCTGCCAGACACACAGAGGTCCCTATATAACCTGAGAAGTGTTAAACTTGCCTTCACACATTTTAACACATTTGTCCTCAATATTATTTAGTAGGAAAGATAATCACATTCTTGGAGAGAAAGTGTGTGGAGCACTGATATTTCTGATTTTTTTTTTTTGGTACTGGGAATTGAACCCATGGGTGCTTTCCACCAAGCTACATCCCTAACCCTGTTTATTTTTCATTTTGAGTCTCACTAAGATGCTGGGGCTGGTCTCAAACTTGTGATCCTTCTGCCTTAGCCTCTGAGTGGCTAGGATAATAGATGGCTCTATTATACATCAGAGCCACAGGGCTGGCTCTGATAGATTCTATGGAAAATGCCCAAGGGAGTTCCAAGTCAAAGAAGATCTGAAGGTCTGACAAATACTACAAACCCAGCTCAAACCAGAGTACAAGGAGGAAAAATATAATTACCTCTGAGTGACATAACAGTGGAAAATATGGTCCTAACACCTGACTTTTCCAATTCTGTTAGCGTTACTAACAAAAGCTGGGGAGCAGAGCAGGGTTAGGACCTGTGCCCTATACAGTCCACTCAGCACCTTGGCTGTGGGCCGGCTCGCCCACATTCCACATGATGAGAGAGAGCCACCTTGTCTGAGTTGCACTTTGCTGAGTGCCTGGTTCCCGTGGTGAGGGTTTAATAAGGAGGGCCCAAACAGACAAGGAGAGGAGGGACACTGGCGGTGAGGCAGGTTAATTAAAAAGGAGGCTGCAAAAATCAAGTTGGCAAATGACAGAACAACAAGAACAAGAAAAGATCATGCCCTACAGGGGTACTTGTATAAAGCAGCCCTTTGCCTTGAAGGGACATAATAAGCAAAAAAAAATCTCATAAAATTGTATATTTCATGAATAGTTAATATACATGAGACACTACAAAGGAAAATGTAGGTGGTGCTGGCCACTTCTGAAGAACTGATGAAATTTCCACCAGATCATGCATTGAGAGAAGCTGTGTCAGACACTGTAGTGTTGTATTAATTGTTTTCTTTTTTGTTTCTATTACAAGGGAACTCTGTTAGAGCCACAGGGTGTGCTGCACAGAACTAGCAATCGCATGGACTCTATGGCAAACATTTCTATGTGCTGTGATAAGCCCTGGTTTTATATTATTATTTCCCAGAGACACAAAGCTTTTTAAAAATATAGATTTCCTCGTTTATTTATTTCATCCTATTGGATATACTTTGGAAGCCTATTCCAATCTTTCTGGGAAAGTGAAGGTCGTGTCAGATCATAAATAGAGAATGCTACTATTAAAAATAGAATCCTGCTGTCAAGTCTCCAGGAAACACTGCATTGCATATGGGTCTATGCTAGGCAGAATAAACAGCTCGAGCCCCTGGGGATTTGCTCACTGAGGCAGAAAGTACACCAGTCTCAAATGATGGCCCAGTCCTTGTTTTCAGACCCAGCACTTCTCACATTTTAATATGCATAAGAATCATGGAAGGATCTTGTTACAATGTGGGTTCTGGCTAGCAGGACTAGGATGGGGCTTAACAGGTTCCTAAGCAACACTGTCCGCACTTTGGCTATCTGGGCTCTCATCTGTACTAGGGAGCAGCTGAGGGTAGCTGGAGACTGCCCTGTTCTTCACTGAGTCCTAATGGCAACAGGTCAATCTCAGGTTATGGGTTTTGTCTCCTCCTGATTCAAAATATACCAAAGTAACTGATTAATTAGCATTAATTTTTTCTAAGGTGACCTCATGCGGTATGCTGTTTGCCACATTCATGGAGTTTACAAGCACCTTGGCAAACCTTGTTAAGAAAGTTTAATTAGGGCTAGGGTGGTGGCTCAGTGACAGACTGCTTGCCTAGCATGTGTGGGTTTGATCCTCAATACCACATAAAAATAAATAAATATAATAAAGGTATTGTGCCCATCTACAACAACAAAAAACATTTAAAAATATATTTGATTAGAAGAGAATGTCCTTGCTATGTGGTTTATCTGAATCTTCATGAATTACAAGACTTACACCTATTTTACTAAGTGATAGAACAGGGTTCTGTAAATTGAGGAAGAGAAGGCCAGGAAACCTGCCCAGTATGAATGTAGACACCGGCAGAACCATCTTTCAAGCCACATGGCACACCCAGAGGAGTGGGCAGGGCTGGCATGAAGCTCTGGACTTGGCATAACTCCGTTTCTCCTCTAGGCTCATAAACTTCTAGAGATGCCAAGAGGTTTTCCAATGATGACATCCTTCCGAAATTGAAAAATATGGTTGTTCCATGGGTATGAAATAATGGGTGACAGACTCTTTCTCAAAACATAAATCATTACCTTGGGCACCCAGAGACCATTCACTGGAGTGACTGTGAATGGGGATGTCTAGATCCTCTGGAAGTAAAGTCACGGCAGGAGAGACATACCTCATTAATGGGCAGAGCCACATGCATATCTGTGGTAAAGTGTCAAAAGCCAGGGCACTTGAGGGGAAATGAGAGAAATGTCTATTTGTAGACATGCCTAGGACTTCATAGGTCCTCAACCTGCCTTAAAATTCTTCCCAAAGCTAGGCACAGTGGAGCCTGCCTGCAATCCCAGTGACTCAGGTGGGAGGACTGCAAGTTCAAGACCAATCTCAGCACCTTAGTGAGACCATGTCTCAAAATAAAAATAAAAAAGGAGCTGGTGATATACTTGAAGGTAAAGCATCTTTGGGTTCAATCCCCAGTATCACCAAAAAGAAAAAAAAAGGGAAAGAAAGAAAATCCTTCCACGAATAAGAGTATCTTAAAAAAAAAAAAACCACAAGCATTGGTGACAAGAATATGTCATGAAGGGGAGGAGCTCTGTACTCTAGGCCATGGTCCTAAGGTTCAAGAGGTGGGACATGAGTACTGGGAGAGACAGACCCCTCGAAAAGTAGATCTTCACAGAGGCCCATGTGGCTGACCCTGCCCATGCAGACTTCTGAGGTGCTTCACAGGCTCATGGCCTTTCATGTCCAAGCTTCATGAGTGGGGTTAGGTTCTATAGTTCAACAGATACTTCTGGAGCCCCTACTATATCAGGTCCCAGCGTACAAAGAGGAATAATATGTCAAGAGGAGTTAAACGTCTCACAGATTCAGGGGTATTACAACCCCACCTAGAGATTTCACCTTCTCCATTGTTGATAGAAAAAACTAGAGGTTCTTAAAAGTATGAAAATCATATATTGCATATCTGCTAGGGCAGGTCTTATTTGAAATATACTCTTATACTGTCTACATAAGCC